TCTTCCCTGTTCCCCCCAAATTCATGATGTGTTTGCAGCAACTTAGCTTTGCAACACTAGCTTTGAACACACCCAGGGTGGAGAGTTTGTGGTAGTGCAGGGGAAGGATGCTGGGTTCCCAGCTGTGCCTTGCTGTGGTCCAAAGCTGTCTCAAGACTGTTTAGCGCCCTGACTTGATGTGAATGTTGTTGTGTGACAGATACACTGCTCAGTACTAGAAACTGAAGTCTGGCACATGCACGGCACTGTTGCACTTTTTTCAGATGTCATACCCTGAAGGTTCTGCAGTCTCAGTGATACCCACTGGGAACCATAAACTGTAATTAATTAACTCCTTCCCTTTTCCAATGTTCCAGTACTGACATCTATGTTTAAAATGCATCTAAAACTAGTAAATGAACCTGTGTGTGACCAAATTTTAACATGCCACAAAAAGAAAGAAATCTTTGAGTGATTTATGCAACCAATGATTTGTGAAGCAAAATGCATTTACAGGTGCTAATATAGTTTTTAATTTTTTACTGTCTTGTATTAGCTCGTAACTTTTGTTGTTCTTTTTTCTTGTTTAGGTGAAACACTTCAGTCCTTAGATGAAGAGACACTGGAAGCATTGGCAAAACGTGAGACTGAAGAAGACAAGATCTTCCAAATGTTTAAAGAAAAAGTAGCTGCTGAACCAGAGCAGGTGAGAAGATGGGGCAGCCTTAGAACTTTGTGGTTCTGGCACAGCATCCTGCTGCCTCTGCAACGTTTCACTGCCTTTTGTACCTAGTTAGAAATGAGGATGCCTTCTCACCCTCCACACACCTAACCAACACACCCTCATTTCCTTATGTGCACAACATAAGTCATGCTGAAGTAAGAATTCAGCACCTGCTCATCTATCTTAAACAGAAGTTGGTCAGGATGAGATGGCACAGGGGTGCTGAACCCCCAGAGCGTGGGAAGACCTGCCATCCTGTGACCTGCCATCCTTTCGTTCTAACCAAAGGACATGGTGAACCACTGCATTATTCCCTAACCTGTGGCCCTGTTTGCTTTCCTTCTCAGCAGAAAGAAAACTGCAGAGAAGAGCTCTATCATTGTCACCAGCTGCACTAGGAGGTGGTTTGGTTTTTTTAAGGTTGAAGAAATTAGTGATGGCTTTAAAATTTTTACTATTTCAAACAGAAATTCCCCCCTCATACTATTTCTTGCTATTACAAGAGGCTGAGTCACATTGTCAAACAAAAGCATGGTCCCTGGTTCCATTCAGAGGAAACACAGGCCTAAATCCATAAAAGTGGTGGAGGAAGAAGAAATTCTCTCAATTTTTTGCCTGGTACCCGAGGGGTTAAGGTACATATACAAAAAGTAGGAGATTTGTGTGTCTCCTTTTCTACTTTAGGTATGTGCATCACCTCTCTCTCATCATCCCTGTACTGACTGATCTGCCCAATGTCCTCTTGTTGATAATGCCTGATTTGCTATGAACAGAAAAACTAAGGATATGTCTGAAAATGCCTCCTTCTTGGGCCATTAGGACAATCCAGTTGCATTTAGATGCAGTAATGCATAACAAGAAGAGCTGGGTTGCATTCCTGACTTTGTGTGCAGTTCTGTGTGCTAATTATCAAGCTGCTCTTTCCCCATCTCAAGACTGTAACATACATTTCTGGGTCCCTTAATTAGGGAAATGCAAATAATTGGAATTTATCATTGCAATTTATCCCTGGATCATTGAAAAAGTGTTGCATAGTTAAGAAAATGCATATAAAACAACCCATCTTATTTAGAATACCATGTTTGCAAATGATATTTTGCCATGGTTATTACTTAAAAGGATCTGACCTTATTCTGCGCCGTCTACAGCTTTGTCTAGCTGTAAATACCAATTTTATACCAAAACCAAAAGATAGTAATGAGAACTTAAACTTCTGCTCTATTTCAGATTATTAGATACTGCAGAGGAGGAGAAGGCCCAATCTGGGTGTCAGGTGAAAACAGGCCTGAAGAAAAAGATATCCCAAATTGTTTATGTGGTGCTAAAAGGATTTTTGAATTCCAGGTATGTAAACTCATTTAAAAATAATACAGGTAATGTATTTCAGACTTAACAGGATCTGATTGTAATAGGTGTTGGCTTGTAGTCAGAGCAAGAAAGTTGAAGTTGCTACATACTAACTATGCTAAATGATTGCACAGAGCCTTTATTTACTATTGTAACTGCTTTTTCCACCAGATAATTTGCACTATCCATAAAATGGTGCTCTTGTGAATATGGAACCCTCTCTTAAGTAACAGGAGTCCAGCGTGATATATTTCAAAAAATTCACAATGTGAATTGTAAATATGTCTGGCTGGAAGTATTCAGTTGTGAAATTTTGAATGCTAGTGATGTATGCATGGTGAATACACTTAATGTCATGTGAAGGTAAAATATAGTCATGAGGGTAATTTCAAATGGAGTGAGGCTCAGAATTGGGGCAAGGCCTATAAGGTCAAATAAAACTTCTATAGATGAAGTAAGTAGGGCCATGCCTTTGATTCTCTAGGCATCTACTACACTGCTTTGGGAATTTCAAATTTATTTTATTTGAGCTGGTGCATGCAGTCACTTCAACTGGGATTTGGTGTAAGAGGACATAAATTCTCTTACACCAAATGCAGGATCCTTCTTCAGAAAGAGAAGCAGGGAGAACGGAGAAAGCTGTGGCCTGCCTCTAAACCTTTTGGTTTTCTTTGAAGATTATGCCACAGCTCCTGAACTACCTTCAAGTTGACAGCCTTGGAGAGAGCATTGACTGGGGAACGCTGGTGGTGTACACTTGTGCTAACAACTGCGGTGGGGCACACGAATACCTGGAAGAGTTCATATGGAAACAAGACTATTCCGTGGGCCATGTTTTACCAAGTTGAGTCATCTAAATGGAATACTTGCTTTATTTCATTGCATCTCTGCACTATGTAAACAGGTAGTTGAACTAGAAGTCACTGTTAACAGCGGATCTTGTAACAGTGATAAAACTGCTATAACTGGACCTCGACAGCCTCTCTCTTGTGCTCTGGGGAAGCTTTTACTTCAACCTGGTAATGAAGCCAGATGTGTTGGTTCTGTGAGTTTCATTTCAAATCTCATTTCTCAATGTTTAAATAAAGATGAAAAGCTTTGGATTGGTGAAATTATCTTTTGTTGGTGATAGAACTTCAAAAACCGAAAGACTGGTGTTTGTCAGGACTTTGTGCTACTCAAAAATTAACATTCATTCAGAGAAAAGCAGACTACTGTAAACTCACTTGAGTGCTTATGCTGTACAGGAGTCATAGCTAAGACAAAGCTGCATAGCTTTTTGATGTGGAACTTAAGTCCGCTTCTCTTTCTGAACAGGTGCACCCAGTCTAATTTGACAGTTCTTACATGTTCTGATTGAGTGGTTTGTGGAGATAAAATGCACAAAATTAAGTGTTTTATCTGACTTAAACTATTTCTGCATGGGGCTAATAGTTTTAACCCAGTTATCTGGTGCAGAAGCAGTTTTAATAAAGTGAGCCATACCAGAACACATTTGTCTTGTTACACACTGCCTGTAGCAGCAAATTTTCAAGCTGAATTGTACCTTAAGTCTGCCAACTTTGGTAAAGTTTAAAAATAAGTGCCCTCTGCAGGGATCCTTCTGCTATTTGACAGCCTTATAGCTGAGGCAAGAGAAAAGTGAAACCGTAATCTGAGGTTACTGTGGTAGCTGCTTAACTACTCCTGTGGTTATAGCTACATTTGCAGAAAATGCTTTTTTGTGTGTCAGTGTAGAACTGACTTCAGTTACATACTCCCTTATCCTGCTCCAACCATTCATGGCTGCCAGTGACTCTGAAAGTGATTTTATGAAAGTCCTAGGCTCACTGTGGGGTTTTTGAAATCATTTAGATGTTGAAAATACTCAAGTGAGCAGGCAGAGAATGCTGTACCTGTAAGTGGTTTTGTTGATGCAGGACTTAATTTCTAGAAAGGTAGTTTTAAGCTTTGGTACATGTCACGAAACAGCAAACAGCATCTTAAGTCACTGTAGTACAGCTCAACTGATTTTACTGAAAACCGTCCCACAATTACTTAGGGCTCCAGGCCTTCCTAAAGAGTTGAAGAGTTTTTCAGGTAAGCTGGTAATAGTTCAGGGTCCTGCAAAAGCAGGGACAGTCCTACAATTATAGTTAAGAGCTCTCAGAGTGGTGTGGCACTAAAGGCAGTGTTTGAGTATCACAAACTTATCCTGGCACAGCTACATTATTAGACAGCATCTTTCTGATAAGAATCATGAAATGAATTAATAAACACCTAGTGAAACACCGGTGTAGAGGGAAGACTGAAGATTAATGTCACTCACGATTTGCAAATGGAGTAATATCAAAGCCAGTCAAAACTTCATTTTGTCTGGAATGAAACACCAACTTAGTAAAGAGACCACAGTTTACATTTGGGTTAGTTTTAAATAAAAGTTGTTTGGAATAACGTGCAAGTCAGAGAGAGTTTACTATTACTGAAAATTTACTGAAGAAAAAAAGTTTATTTTTAGTTCTCAGCCCGTTAAGCTTGAAGCATGGTTCAGAAGGAAGATTATGTACATACTGACTAGTCGGAAGGGCTTTGACATTTTACAGGAACATTAATATAGTGAGACTGTCATAGCTGGTAAAATACAAAAGTAGTAATTTAAAGAAATTCTAGGAGCTAAGCAGGGGTCTTTTGTTCCAATTCAGTCAAGTGTAGCTATTTAAGACTTGCCTAAATCCCATTTGTTGAACATAAGGCAACACATATTTGAACACAAACTTCTTTAACCAGTCATCTCTTTTGTTTTAACATATTGGAAGTATTCAAGATAGATGTTTCCAAGGATGTGACTGCTGGTAAGTAAGCCAGAACATTGGTAAGATTCTCTTAAAATGACAAGTCACTTACAGTAGTGCATGTGCTATTAAAAAATCCAGATTAAATTAAAAAAAATCAATGTATTTCACTCTACCAGCTGGGTAATTTTAAAATTTATTAAGACAGTTCCCATAGTTGTATAAACAGGGTTTATTGTACATGTGGAGTTGAAGAAGGAAAGAGAAGAAAGGTATATATTATATATATATGTACAGTGAGCCATTTTCATTAATAAATTTATCCTATCTTGCTTAATACTGGAAAGAGGAAATGTGACTGGCACCAAAGAAATTTAAAGTTGAAAAAATTTAAAAGCTCAAGTTCTGAAAATTATAAAACCATGGTCTTATGGAAGGAACTTAAAACATATATACATGGCAATTTAAGTGGTTTATACACTGAGTGACACAGTTGCATTTGTCTTTAAACCAACTTACAGATTTCCTATTAATAGAACTGGCATTAAAACTATTTAAAAGCTAGGATATAAATAAAAATTGGAGGGACTGCTCTAGGAACAGCCCAGTAAAGCAACTCACAGTAACTCAGTAGACATATTCAAGAATACAGTTCCCCTTGACCATCAGGGAAGTAGGCACTAACTGGGAAATAGTCCAAGTCCTGGTGTTGCAGTTGCACTGGAAGTCCGTCTCTTGTTACTGCTGTGCCATACACAATACCTTTTAAAATAGACCCCTGATTTCTCTGAAACATGTAGAAACTATTACGTTGTCTTTCTGAATCCCTTTAAAATAGGATAGATGTTTTCAAATGCTTCATAGATTTCTGCTCGTACTTTAGCACCTGAAAAATGATAGGGAATTAAGTTAGTTTGTACCTTTCACCTAGTACTCTGTTTTAGCTTTTAGAATGTTTATTTTAATATGGCTCTATATAAAACCTACGCATATCCATAAATCCTTATTTTTACAATCTTCTTTAAAACATATTTCATAGAGAGCATACATTACCAGCCTTCTGTTTATTTTGTCAAGTGTTACAACCTTCATTAGCATCTCTGTGCAGATGCTATACTTGCAAATGGGATTATCCTATACATAATTTCCACAGAAGACCCAACTACAAAGCACAGCCCCGCAGGATGTTTCTGCAGAAAGGCCTAACTGATGGAGATTTTCTGAGTGTGAACATCTGTGGGAGGAAGGTCTGGCAGTGGAGACTGCTGCAGAGGCCTGCCCATTCCCCACACTGCAGGGACATGATTCTTTTGTCTGCCTGTCTTGTGTTTTTTTCTCCATAGCAAGACACAGTATGAAGGGAAAAGGAAGGGTGTAGGTGGAGTGCCTGAGGTTGAAGAGGTCCTAGATCTCCCCTTCTTTGTCTGCTGTGTCATGGGAGAATGGCAGCATCCTGCAGCCAACCTGCCAAAGAACAGCTGGCTCAGTCACACATACTCAGCCCACAAAAACAGTCTTTCAGATTTTGCCAGAAAGATCACCTGCAGTCTTACAGCTTTTTGGGCACCTGCATACTACATTAAGATTCATGATCATTGTTCAAATGGATCTAGCCAAAGGTGGTGTTGCTTCATGCATTCTCATCTGTTAAGGAATACACATAGTGCAGGTAACACATAGTGCAGGTAGCTCGGTATGCAGCTGCAGCGCTGAGCTGCAGGTTGGGATGCAGATTGAGCTGTGTGTGGCAGGACCCCCAGGCAAGAGGCCCCGTGAACTGCCGACTATTTGGGGTCCCTCCTCGGAGGCACCCAGCTCGAGCTGTTATTTTGTTATTGCACCAAGATTAGACTGTACTATGGGAAACCTGGGGTGGAGCTGGTAAGGAAACCTTGTCTGACTGTGTGAGTGTGGTGTGTGTAGGAAGTCAAGTGGGGCACCTGTCGGCTCACTGGAGACGATCCGCTGCAAACAGGCTTTGGTCCTGGTGCAGGTGGTGCTGGTGTGACTGCCAGAGTGGCTCCTGGGTGGTTGGACAGGGAAGTTTCCTTAACACCATCCACAGAACATTCTATTAACTCTTCTTTCTCAGTACTGTCATCTCTAAAGGAAAGTACCTGGCAGCTTATCTATCCCTGTGTGTTCTCTGTAATACAGTCTAAATCTCACCTACCGGAGTAAGATACTGTCTTGACCTACCAGTTAAAACCACTTTTCCAGAAACAAAAATAAGCAGTACAATTCTTGGCTTGATCATTCTGTAGATTAATCCAGGAAACAATTCTGGCTCGTAGCTGTAAGAGAAGAGAGTGACAGTGTTTAAACTTATAAGCCTGTAAACACATGTTCCACTCTAACTTCTGCAGGACTGGGCAGAGCAGATGTAGACTTCACTGAAACTTGGAGAGGGTAGTAGGGTAGATCATTTTGATGGTTTCATAATGGGCAGCCTCAGCTGCACCTAAGGCAGTGCAGAGATGGGAACAGTGCAACGGAATAATCTAAACAGATGTCACTCTCTAAGCTAGCTAGTACGCAACAGGAATGAAACACAAGCAAGCCTTTTTTTACCTGCTGAACTGCTGGTGTGTGAGTACCAATCCTTCCAGTCTGATGGGAAATTTCACATCGCAGCTGCCCACCATGTTCTGAATTTTAAAATCCAAAAATTTTGCTGGAAAGCCCAGTTTCTGAACAACTCTTGCATACTTCCTTGCTGCCAGTCTGGATTGCTCCTCACTGAAGTGAGAAAAGGATATCTCTATTATTGCCTCAGTTTTATATTACTTGAAGCAAACAGCATTAAACCACAAATATCTAACTGGGAGAAAAATGGCTGTGTGGAGGAAAAGGGAAGGTCACATGCAAAATTTTGTTATCTAAAATTAACAAGTAGCACTGGTTTTCATGCTAATTTTGGTAGTAATATCCTGGACACCACTAGTGTTGCACTCACTGTTTATGAGGCACAAAACAGTAAATTATAAATCCATATATTTCACGCTTTTAAAATATTGACCAGAGTCCCTCTAATGGAACATGAAAACTGTTATGTAAGTTATCACCATAGAACAACTTTGAACTACTACTGCTAGAAATACATGTTTCTATAAAAATCTCTCAACTGCCAAAATCCTCTGCTTGATTGAGCCCAGGAATTCGAATAGGTTTAACACAACTGCACAGCCTTACATGGTGTTACAGAATTCAGTTTGTTTCAGTTTTGTAAACAGCTGTGGATCTGGTTGTTCCTGATGCAGAGTAGGACAACTTGAACTTCAAGTGTCACCAGGCAGAGAAAACGTTTCTCTGTACAGCTCTATTCATTCATCTCTGCTCATTAGCTTATTCCTTCTGGATTCCTAGCAGAGTTCTTCAGAGCAGAATTTCTCTTCTGGCCACCAGAGTTAAACTTTTGTTTAGTTTTCAATTCTTGTGCTTCAATGATCATGTTAAGAGCTAACTAACTAAGATCAGATGACAGGGACCAGAGACTTGGAGCTCTTATCCTGTGATGAATGAAACTATTCAAATATAAAAACCGTCTGCCACTGCCCCTACAGTCTAAGCAGTTCCAGTGCATAGTCACTGAATTTTTAAATTATTAGAAAAAAGCACAGATAACTGCAAAGCCAAAAAACTGAATATAATAACCTCTGCAACCCAGTTTATTAGACTGGATGAAAGAGCTTCAGAAATAGAACTACCATTTCCCCTCTAGTTGGGAAGTCCCTTTAGTCATGAAAAGACAGTTTGCATAGAAATGTGTATTACACAAACAACTGTAAAAGCAACATTAGTTCTACCTGTATGACTTTGATGTATATATATATATATAAATAATATTACTTCTAAAGCATCATGATAAATGAGAAGAGACAGCCTGAATTAGTTTGCTTGTAGCCTAAACATACCTTTTTGCTCCTGTGCACACCATTTTTCCAGAGCTGAATATCAGTGCAGTAGTACGTGGTTCTCTTATTCTCATAATAACAGCAGCAAAACGCTGAAATGTGAGCGTTGAGACTATTAGTGATATATTGCTGTAATCATTACATTAAAACCAAAACTGCATCATCTAAGGAGCAAGTTACACTGTAGTGTAAAGAAATACTAAGTTCAAACATACTTACTCATCACTCAAAGTTTTCTTGAAATGCTTAGATCATAAGTAGCTTCAAACACACACAATGAGAGGTAGAGCCAGGCAGGAAGGATATTTACCATTGCATTGCTATTTTACTAAGTTAATCTCTCATTACTGTATATGCAACATATAAATAACGCTAACATTTGCATCAGAGCAATAGAGACAATTTCAAAAATAAATTTAAAAGATTTCCTCCAAACGTCTTGAAATTTGATCTGTTATAAGCACGATGGAAGACTATCTGCAAAAATTTTATGATCTGTTTTGTTTCTGTGTCTTAAAAAAATTGGACAGTGTTACAATAGCAGCAAACAGATGAGCTGGAGATGAAAGTTCTGTGTCAACAGAAGTCACCTTGGCTACCACAGTAGGACACAGCAGCCCGATTAGCTCTACCTTTTTATTCTAAGTAAGCATTTCCAAATTCTTAAACTCCTTGAAGCTAGAGATATTGGAAACTGATATGGGCATACACACACACACACACACACAAGTAAACCCTTCTTTGTTGTATTTAACTTGGACTAGCTCACCATGCAGTCCCATGAATTGTTCTGCTGACATAACCAAGGCGGTAGCGTGGGTTACCCAACAGCACACTTGTCAAAATATGTCTTAAATAGTTCAGGCAAGCAACATCTTTCTGTGATAGATGAGTGTACTGACTAAACGTCAGGAGTGTGTTACATAACCCTCCTTTCTCTCTGACATGGAAAACAGTATTTCGTATTGATTATTCTAGCCTACGAGTTTTACACAGCCACCTACCCTCCTACCTTAGGAGTCACCAGGCATGCTCAAATTTTTGCTGCATTAGTATCTTACTCACAATTATGTAACAGCATCACTGATATAAGCTTACAGTAACAGTTGTTTATGACATATGCCTGCTTTAACCTTTGAGAACAGAGTGCGGGTAAACTGCAGCAAAGTCCTAAATACTAAAAGAAAAAACCCCTACGCCCCAGGAAAACTGAAGCCTTCCCAAGGTTAACCAATTCAACTGCACAACACCTAAACTTTTATTAGTGTCCAGCTACTGTGGTTGCAAAGATAACATTTCCAAGAGGAGCCACCCAAAAGAAAACTGAAGCGACATAATTTTCTTGATTTCACACTCCAGGTCCTCTGCTGTTGTTCAAGGTTTCCGAAGCTAAAAAACCCCACAGTTTAACAGACTACCACTTAGGAGTAGCAGGCAACTTAAAAGTCGATGTGCAAAAAAATCAATTTCACTTCGCTGTTTCACCAAACTTAGCCATCAGAAGCAATGAGATGGCAGGAGTACTGGGGGAGAACACAAGGGAACAGAGGGGAATTGAGACTGAAAAATGAGCAACTGTGCTGTGACCACAAGAATTCCAAGGGAGCAGCTAGGTGGAGGAAGTCACAGAGTATATAGAACAACCATGCCCATATGAACAGTAGCAGAGCTACCACAAAAAGCTTGGCCAGTGTACTACACTGTTGGTTGGGTTCTTCTACCAAATTACAACCTGGTGCAAATCACAGCTACCTCAGTATAAAAATGCTTTTTACTAATTTGACAGAATGTTCTAAGTTTATTAAAGATTTCTTTTTAAACTATAGTATAAAACTGCATCTCTAGCAGGTTTTTTTGGTCTGTTGCAGAAACCTGCAGCCACAACTTTTGATATACATTTCTCTTACCTTGGGATTATATTCAGCATTTCGGGCACGAAGTGCAATAGTTTTTAGGTCAAGTTTGCAACCAAGATTCACTGTGGACACAATATTCCTGAAGACAGGTGAGAGAAATATATTAAAAAGACAATAAGGAATTCGCGTGTCTTCCTCATTTTTAACAAAGCTTAATTAATTTTACTTTTTCATTATTTTGTTTCTCCAAGTGAGTTTGAATGACATCTTTCCTACTAACAGGAGCACCAAGCAGTGTTTTGACTCAGGAACCTCCTTTTGTAGGGCACTAGTTCCTAAGGCATGATTGCTGATTCCTCCTTTTCTACCAGCAATTATGAAAAGTGTCCCATGAGAAGAATCTCTATTTCAGTTTGGCTGGAAAAATTCTTGATTTTGAGAGCCCTCACCACAATCAGAGAAGCTGCTGGAAACGGGAGAAAATGAGGTAGTACCATCTGAAATTTTCCTTGCTATGCCCTTCAAGGGGGAAGGTGCAGAACTAAGTGGGAATAGCACAGGATGTAAATCCATTACCAGGAGATGGGATAGCAGGTCTCTAGAAAGTTTAAAAGAAGTTCCTAGATATAAAACTTTGTTTTCTGGAAAAATCCTGAAATTTAAAGGTCCTCAATGGTGGGGGCGTGGGGAAAGAGGAGTATGAGAAACTACTCTTTCGATTCACCTTATCCATTTCACTTTGTCCCTTCCATAAATTTCTGAAAAACTCTCTTTAGAACTAAAGTTTAATGAAAATAATTCCATACCTAAACTTAGAACTAGTTCTAGGGTTTTCTTCCCTTCTTAAAAACTCAGTGTTACCCATGCACTAGAAAAGGGAACATGATGAATTCCTAAACTGCATAGAGTTAAATTTACAATGGTGTTAACTGAAGACATATCTAACACCCTCCACTGTTATACTTAAAAGATGTATGGTTGACAAATCACTAAGAAACTGTTTACATTATTAAGTGGTTTAGTAATGAAGCTAAGCTAAAAATAAAAGCAAAAATTACTCATATTGCTACAGGAGACCCATAAATTCTGAATCCTCCCTTTCCACCAAAATGCAGTACCCAATTCCTGATGTGCCTTTCGTCCTAAGTCTTTAAAAGGACACAATGCACTAACGCATGGGGCACTCACTGTAGTTGTGGCACTATCCCAGAACTCTCTGACGCTGGTGTTGCAGGAGTTATCGGTGTCATCGGAGTCATTGGAGAGGGGTACAGAGGTGTGGTTCCTGGTAAAGGGGCTGTGGTAAGAGTCTGTGAATGGAAGAGCTGGGGAGTTTGACCAGATGTTCCCTGTGTCGCTTGCTGTGACGTAGATTGTTGCGCTGCTTGTTGCTGCTGCTGCTGCCGCTGCTGTTCCTCTAATATAGACAGACTGTTGGTGCTCTGGACAGGCTGTGGTGTCAGTCCTGTGCCATAGGGCATCATTGGGCTAAAAATGGGAATTCCTGGAGTCATTGCACCCTAGAGAAGCAAACATGAAAGAGAAACCACAGATCATGTTGATTCCATTTTGTTTTTAAGAGACAAAGTTTTCAGGGGGGGTCTAAAAATAAATCTATGTAAATTGAGTTGATGATCTCAAACCTGGAGCACACAGTAGTAACTTGTTAAAAACAGAAAGTCCTTGGAAATGCTTTACAGAATAAAGCATAAACGTTTTACAGAATAAAACACTACCCCTAGGGATCCGACACGTTTCTCACACTACCTTGCAAGCATGTCTCAACTTTGACTCACAATTTAATTTGCAATTGTTTGAACACAGACTGTGCCCATTTCACCAAACACATTCTTAGCCCAGCAACAATCTATTATGCACGTAGTTTAAAGGGCAACCACCAAAATTAAATTAATCTTTCCAACTTGTCAGTCATGTTTCTACTTAAAGGAACCCCATGTATCTGCATGTTTTATACCTCTGGATATCTACATTGATGGTTTTACAATTCTGCTTTATACTAGTATTATTTGATACCTAGCAGAATTTTTCACATCTGCAAACAAAAAAACCTGAAGTTACATGCAAGAAATGGAAAATGCTTTCACAAAAAAAAAGAAAAAATCAGATAATAGTTGCATTTTAGATCATTTGCTTTTACCTGAGGGGAGGCTAAGCCTTGAGCGTAGGGTGGCAAACTGTTGTTCTGATCCATGATTCCAGTTATTTCTTTGGTGAGGCCAGAAGTATTTCCTTCAATTAATTTAAATAAACTTCAAATCCTAGAGGATTTTTAACCGTTTAAAACATTCCAGCAAAGTAGCTTTTAAAGCCAAGCTGAAAGGTGCTAGGAAAACATCAGCTCCAGAGAAATATGTTATGAGTTTAAAACACCAAGAAAAATCTGAAAAGAAAAAGAGTAATATCTTGAGAATAATATCTAAAAATAAAATGAAAAGCAAACCTATGAGCTGGTGACTCAGATAAAAGACACACACCCACGTATAAATACATATAAGAAAATTCACGCATATGCACACACACATGCACAATCCATAAAAATAACCTTTTTCAGGCACACTCCATAGAAACTTTGCAGCGTGATTCTGCTGAAGTTCCTCGCAGGTTACCTGACCCACATGGGCAGGCTTCTGTCTAACCAAACCTCCCTGCACAAACAATTCAAGCTATTAATGCTCATTCTACTCTAAGTTTTGCTTTAGCTAGAAAAGCATAGATTTTTTTAGAATTTAATTCCCTTGACTACTAACCAAAAAGCTTACTGACACATTGCTTGTAAGTCTCTTCCTGACAATTTTAAGTCTTGGGCTTTCAGAAGTTATTTTTTTCTTCTATGAGAAAAGCATCACTGGTCAAATCAGAACTAGGAAAACCTCTTATCCACTTCCAATAGACTTCAAACAACAGTGACATGTGCTTTATCAGAAAAAAAAATAAATATGTGAAAACTTATTTCAGATGTACAAGTGAAACATCCATACGATTTGATTTTTTCAACTATGCCTCTGTTGCTGTCTTACAGAAATAAACAAGATAAGTGAAGAATTTAAATTTTATGCTATCAACGATATAAAGTATTTTCCCATTAATTTGTAAGCTTCTTAACTATCGCCTAGAAATACTCAAGGTCATTTTCAGGCCGGAGGTTGGCCACCTCAAAATCTGAAGAAAGCTTATTCAGCCTTTTTTTTTTTTTAAAGATATGAGAGCTTAGAATTACAATATTTACACTGCAGCTAAAAAGGTCTGCTTTTTTTTCCCCCGTGACCATAAGATATTATGATCTTTACCCTCACCGAAGGTATCAAGCAGAGCATCCAGGTTTTATGACCTGGAGATAGGAGTACATTAGAAGCCTAGACATTATCCTGGAAGAAATAAAGCCAACTCCTCGACAGCCCAGCTGTTTGGTAAGAAGCCAGGTTACCAGGCATGCCAGAGCCTGCGGCGAGGACATCGGCTACGCAGAGGCCCATCTTGTAACCACCTAACGAGGCTTGCCTGGATCGTCACTACAAACGCTGGGAAACGTTTTGGTCGAGGGAACAGAGTCCAAAAGCAGGAGACACCACGGAAGAGGCCCCGACACACCCCCCCCCCCCCCCCCCCCCCCGAGGCCCCGTTCGGGCTCCTTCCCCAACCACTTCCCGGTGGCCACCGCTTCCCGGTGCCCTCCAACCCCTCCCGCTCCCCATCCAGCACCGGCCCCGGTGCCGCGCAGGGTCCCGCCGCTGCCCGCGCCCAGCCCGCCCCCGCCGCCACGGTCGCCGCTCGCCCCTGAGCCACGCCGGAGCCCCGCGGCGGGGCAGAGCAAGGTGGCTGGGAAAGAGGAGTCCCTCCCCTCTTTCCCCGCCGCGGCTCAGGCCGCCGCGGAGGCGCGGTGCGAGCCCGGCTCCGCGCACCGTCCCCGCCCTCCAGGCCCGGCCCGGCCCGGCCCGCACCATCGCAGCCCCGCCGGCAGCCACCGCCCCTTCCGCGGGCAGCGGGCGTGCGGCGACCGCGGCGCCCGGCGGGGCTCGGTACCTGCTGCCCCGCTCCGCTCCCGCCGCGCTCAGCGCCCGCCGGACCACGGTCCGACCCGCCCCCGCCCCGCCGGCGCGCCCAGCGCGTCACTTCCCGCCGCCGCCGGGAGAGGAGCCTTCGCTGGGAAGAACCTTCTGAAATTCAACAAGGGCAAATGCGGGGTCCTGCACCTGGGGAGGGATAACCCCATGCACCAGTACAGGCTCGGGGCCGACCTGCTGGAAAGTAGCTCTGCGGAGAAGGACCTGGGGGGTCCTGGTGGACAAGGAGCTGTCCGTGAGCCAGCAGTGTGGTCTTGTGTCCAAGAAGGCCAATGGTGTCCTGGGTGCATTAGGAAGAGCATTTCCAGCAGATCGAGGGAGGTTATCCTACCCCTCTACTCCACATCTGGAGTACTGTTTCCAGTTCTGGGCTCCTCACTACAAGAGAAACATGGAGCTCCTGGAGCGGGTCCAGGGATTAAGGTGCTGGAATATCTCTCTTATGAGGAATGGCTGAGGGAGCTGGACCTGTCCAGCCTAGAAAAGAGATGACTGTGTATAAATATCTAAAGGGTGGGTGTCAAGAGGATGGAGCCAGGCTCTTCTCGGTGATGCCAAGTCATAGGATGAGGCAATGGGCAGAAACTGATGGACAGGAAGCTCCACCTGAATGTGAAGAACTTTCTGTACTGTGTGGGTGACTGCGCACTAGAATAAATTGACCAGAGAGGTTGTGGAGTCTCCCTCATTGGAGATATTCAAGAACCATCTGGAGACAGTCCTGTACCATGTGCTCTTGGATGATGTTGCTTGAGCAGGGAGGTGGCCCACTGTGGTCCCTTCCAGCCTGACCGATCCTGCAGTGCACGAGACCTGGTTGCAGGGGCTGTGCTGGAGGTTGTTCCCCACATTATAGCTGTACAGACTTACACACTGCAGTGCTGCACTGGTGGCTCTTGCTGCTGTCCGTGTGCAGCACCCATGGAGGCTGCAGCCACTGCAGCTGTGCTTCCCAAGCAGAGTGACACGCTTCTCCTCCAGAACACCACGTGTCCCCTGCATCTCCCTGTCCCCCTGGCCTTCTCCCCTAGCACCACTTCAAGCTTCTACCCCAGCTCTTCTCTCATTTCCACTCATGCCATGGCACCAGGCACCGCAGCTCATGGCCCACCTCAAGGACCTGGTGAGACCCCATCTGGAGTACTGTGTCCAGCTCTGAGTCCTCAGCACAAGAAAGACCTGGACCTGTTGGAGTGAGTCCAGAGGAAGGCCACCAAGATGCTTAGAGGGATGAAGCACCTTTCGTACAAGAAAAAGGTGAGATAGTTTGGATTGTTCAACCTGGACAAGAGGAGGCTTTGGGGTGACCTAATTGCAGCCTTCCAGTACCTGAAGTGAGCCTACAATAAAGACAGGGACTTTTTACAACAGCATGTAGTGACAGGACAAGGAGGAAGGGCTTTAAACTGAGAGAATCAGTTTAGATTAGATATTAGGAGGAAGTTCTTCGCTGTGAGGATGGTGAGGCACTGGCACACGTTGTCCAGAGAAGTTGTGGATGTCCCATCCCTGGCAGTGTTCAAGGCCAGATTGGATGGAGCTCTGAGCGACCTGGTCTAGTGAAAGATGTCCCTGTCCATGGCAGCAGGGTTGGGACTACATGATCTTTAAGGTCCCTTCCAACCCAAGCCACTCTGTGATTCCCGACCCTTGGTCTTCACAGCAGTTCTCAAGGTGCTCCCTCTTACAGAGCCAGAGCCACCCTGGTCCCCACCTACCCAAATACCAGATGCTCTTTGATAACTCCACCACAGCTGCTTATCAACCTGCGCGTTTCCAAGAGCGGGCACGCAGATGTCAGGGGCTGGCAGCGCTTGGACAGGGCAAGAACCGGTGCCTGTGCTGCCAGGAGGGCCCAGGCGCACACCGAGCTGCTGGCGGGGGCGGCGGAAGGACGGGGCGGGTGATAGCGGGGCACGGGCGAGCGCGGCCCCGCACCGCGGCCCCGCAGGCCGCCCGCCGGGGCACGGCGCTCGCCGCCCGGCAGAGCAGCCGAGAGGAGGCGGTGCTGCCGTCCCAGAGCGGCTCCGCTTCCGCCTCCGGTGCCGCCATTTCGCCGTGAGACAGCACCGATGGCGATGTTGTCCGCAGCGGGATACGGGCCCTCCCGGCCTGAGATGGGCTATGAGCTGGATGGGCCCGTACAGCATTACCGCTTCTCGCCCTACACCTTCAACGGAGGGTGAGCAGCCGCGGGCAGCGAGCGGGCCGGGACGAGGCGTCCGGGGGAGGGCGGCGGTGGGGCTGGGGCTGCCGCGCCTTACTCCTGCTTCCCCCCGGTGCTCAGGGCGGGTTTGTCTCCCCTCAGGAGCTCCTCCTTGCAGAGAAAGAAGGGCAGCACGAGGGGTAGCAGGGCTCGGCCTTGCCCTGGGTCCGTGCAGCCCTTCAGGTTGTTCGTGCGTGGCTTTCGGCACACTCGGGCTCCCTAAACAGTTACTGCTCGTAAAATAAGCACCTTTTGTTCCCCGGGGGAACGTTTTCCGGGCCCCAGGAAACGTAGGAATTGGTCATATTACAGAGTCATAGAATTGCTAGAGTTAGAAGGGACGTCTGGAGATCATTCGGTCCAACCTCCTGCCAAGGCAGGATCACCTAGAGCAGATGACAGAGGAACCCACCCATCCAGGTGGGTTTTGGATGTTTCCAGGCAGGGAGACTCCACAGCGTACTTGGGCAGCCGGTTCCAGTGCTCTGCCACCCTCAATGTAAACAAGTTCTTCATGTTGAGGCGGAACTTCTTGTGTTTTAGTTTATGGCCCTTGCTCCTCGTCCTGTAGCTAGTAAACATGTAACTGTGTTGAACGCTGCCTTGCTGTACCTGTTTAAGGCGGGTGATGTTTTACACATCTGAAGTGGTAGCAGGATCTGGCGAGGATAGTGTTATTTGGTTTTTTTCTTATAGTGCCTAACTAATTTTTAAAGGGCATCTGTTACTTAATGGTAGTACACCTGTGGGAATCACAAAGCTAGTTGTTTGGAAGTCAATAAGATAACATCGGATTTAAAAAGTGGTGATAATTTAAGTGTCCTCATACTGTTACTTAGTACTTTGCTTGTTTCAGAAGGGTGAGTCATTATCAGGCATCTAAAAGACTTAGTCTATTGAGTCTGTTTCTTGCCTGGTGTAGGGACTCTGTTTTACCAAGTTTCCATACGATTTTTAGTCAAAGTAGAGGGTCACGTACATATATTTTCTTCACTGAGTCTGTTACCTTCTTATGTTGGTCTTGGGTTACATGTAGGGATGTGCATAGAGGGGAACATAGCAAGGAATATAACATGCTTGACAAAATGTGAGTCTGGATATAGAATTCCTATCTAGTCTGTTTCTGTGTTGCCTAAGAAAATATTTGTGCTGAAACTCATGATTATATCAATACTCTTCATTAAGGACTGTGCTGGCGATTGCTGGGGAAGACTTTTCTATTGTTGCCTCTGACACGCGGCTCAGTGAAGGCTATGCAATTCACTGCCGGGACAGCCCAAAATGCTACAAGCTGTAAGTCCAGATCTTGCAAAAATTGAAACAGATGAAAGATGTTTTATATTGCTGACCATGTCACCTGCCTCCTGCTTTAAGTAGAATTCTTACACAAAAAGCACAGTAACAAAGTAGATTTTGGAGTCATGTCGAACATTGCTGTAATTCAAGATGTGATGTGATGTTGTAAAGATAGCTAGTGTTGCATGCTCTTGAAGTTAGCTGATAACAGAACTATTTTAGCATGATACAAGGCTTAATGTAAGCTAGGTGGTGGGTTTTTTTGGCTGGATAATCAGAAGAACTTTGGCGTTTACTGTAGCCAAACTTAATCCTGTGGTAACTCATTCTGCTTCATCAGGGCACCTAGTGTTAGTATGCAAGTGTGCCCCCTGCAGTCAGTTGTACAGTTTCTCTCTAGTTAAACACCCGGCACTTTGGAGAAGTGTTTGTTTTAGGAAAGGTAAACCTGTCAGTAGTTCCATTATTGAACTTTTTATGCTCATTTTATGCTTTTCTTGACTCACTTTGATAGCATCTCCTTGGTCTAAAACTACCTATTGTTTACATTCATTCGACTGCAGCAGGTATTTACCTAGTAGGCTGCCATCATTTTTTGATTCCTTTTTTCTTTGTGTTTTTTTCTTTTCTAAATTGTTGCCACGGGATCAGAGGAACTTACATTTCTCCTGGCTAACTCCTTACTATATCTTTGACTCTCTGATACTGCCCAAATGGAAATTGCATACTGCACACGATGGCTTTGTGCAATTCTAGTGACAGGCTGAGAGAAGATTGCATTTTGAGGTGTTTTCTGAAGGACTGCTTTGTGTTAGTCTGTATGTGTTAATGTTTGTAGACTCCTCTTTACTAGAATTTAAATTTCAAGGGTGTGTCACTGTGGCTAGTTCATGAAGCATTTTGAAACTGAGCAGAGAGCTAAGCTTTTGTAATGCATCTACAGCCAGATAACTTCTGTTGCACTG